CCTGTCCCCCCCCCCCCCCGCAAGGCAACACACCCCTGCCTCCTAAAGAGAGGTGAGACCACAGGTCCCCTGTGAGAAACTCAGATCAGCTCAGCCCACAACTGTGGCTGGCTTAGTCTACACTAGATGCAGCCAGAGACCCCAAGGCAAGCAGATTCTGCTAATCATACACAGTTGAGTATGTGGGCTGGGGCTGTCATCATTCAAAGGCAGCATGGCATGCTATGGGGTGGCCCGGTACAGGTGTAGGACTCGGCACGCTGACAATGCAGTGTGAGCTCTCTGCTTGCTGGAGGACTCACCAGGGTGCAGGGATAATAAGGGAGGTCCTGTTGAGAGACCAGCCCGGCCACCACCAGCCTCTCTCCGTGAGGCAGGGTTCAGCATCCTGGGCAAAGTAAAAACCTACAGATGCCTTCAGGGTAAGGACAATCAGATGGCGGAAGAGGCAGGGATGCAGGCCTCAGCAGCTCAACAGCTCCTGATAGCACAGCTGGCCTGGGTGTTCAGGACAAACTGGACAGGAACTCTCGCTTCTACAGGAATCTACACTCTAATGTGTGGTGACCTGTAGCTGGGGGACGCACCTAGCCACCAGCACGGCACATGGTACACTGCACACTTTAAAGGGCAGCCTTGGCTCATGGGAAGGAGGCCACACACTCTAAGAACAGCCCGCTCGAGGTACCCCCGCCCAGCCTCACCTGGAGTCATCCGTCCAGTCGATGCATGTGGTCTCATCATAGGGCCCAAAATAGGTTTTGTCTAGAACAAATGCGTTGAATTCTCGCTTCTTCCCAGGAGCATGGTACATCTGAGCAATGTTGCCCTTAGTGACAACAAATTTCCTGCAAAAAAATAAGGTCATGGGTGATATTCAGGACCAACAATGACTGGTCTGAGACCAAAGGTGAGTCTTTGAGACAGTCTGCCCTGTGTACACCTCTCTCCTGCAGGACAGAGGCTGAAGGGAAGAGGAGGAGGAAGAGGAAGAGAGGAAGAAGAGATGGGCCCTGAGGGGCATCTGAGGCAGCACCCAGCCCACCACAGCAAACTTGAAGGGAAGTGGGCAGCTGGCCTGGAGAGAGGTGCCCTTACCTGCCATCAGGGGAGAAGGAGACACTGTGCACCGAGCCCTTGAAATGGAAGTGGTGCAGCACTGACCTGCAGACCAGGCTGACCAGCAGTGCAGCGCCCCCTGCAAGAAGCAAGAGTAGGACCCTGTGGTGACCTTGGAGCCCAACCCCAGATGCAGCACACCTGTCCAGAGTGCACTGCTGAAATGCAGGAAGGTGCTGTGAACGTCTACCTGTATCTGACCCCATGCCACGAAGCTGGGCATGGCCCTGGGCAATACCCCGTCACACAGCACAGAGGACGCAGGGCCACCCCAGTGCCTTCCCACACCTAGAACATTTACCTTCATCAACAATGATGGCGAGGCGGCCATCTGGGGACAGGCCCACACACTTGATGTTGTACTTGGTGGCCAGGGGCAACGTGTCAGATCTGTTGCTGAGAAACACAAAAAACCCAGTGCCCAGTGGGTCTTGTGTAATCAGACAAGAGAGACAGGGCTGGCCTTGGACCAGCAGCTGACCCTCCTGCCATGGAGTCCTTTATGCCTCTCAGACAGGCTTGACCCTTCAGGGGTCGGGTGGGACAAGGGCAGCACAACCCCAAAAGCTATAGTCTTTAAAGAAATGGGAAAGTGCACTGCAGGAAAGAGCAGACGACACTAGGTCCTGGTTTGATCGTTTTCCTGTCTGAATCCACTCAACAAGCTTTCTACTCTGGAGTCCCTCGAGAGATGCCATCTAAACAACTGGCAACGGTTGGTTCTCACTACCAGACAGTAGACCCACCTGGTCCCTAATGCCATGCCCCAGGCCCCATCACCATGAGGAGCAAGCAGGTTCCACCGCTGCCTCACCCTACAGAGAGGATAACAGGAGGCCCAGGGCCAGCCAGTGGAACAGCAGAACAAGACAGGGGCCAGTGGCCTGCAAAACTGCAGAGGGTCAGCCCATGGCCTCCTTGACAATACCAGTCAGAGGCTGAGTTCTTTTCAACCAGACAGGAAGGGCAGGACACTGGGACTCACAGAGCTAAACCTGAGCATCCCAAGTTCACCTCGAGATGCCTACCTCAGCAGGGAAGCCAAGAACCACCAGGGCTTCTGAGCAAAGGCCCGGAGAGCCTCAATTCCCCAGACCACCTGGCCTAGGACCCCTTGGAGGCCTCCACTGTCTGTAGGTGCTGACCTTTGAGACACACCTCCAGCCTGCCATCACCTCCACAGGAGAGGCAAGCTCCCTTCCCAGGTAACAGCTGAACTCACACAACTTTTCTTGTTAAGGGAAAGCCAGCATCTTAGACACTGGAATCAAGGACAAGGAGCCCAGCAGGCAACTCCTAAACTGACCAGTGGCTTCCTAAACCCAGTAGCCCCACAAAGCCACAACAAGAAGGCCAGAAGGACAGCCACCACCACGGCCACCCTTCATGTGCAGGGTATAGTTGTCACTGTTGTTACCATCCCTTCACAATACTTTTTTTGGGGGTGGGGGGGTTAAGACAAGGTCTCCCTGTAGCCCCAGCTGGCCTGGAACTCACTATGTAGACCAGGCTGGCCTCAATTTCAGAGATCCACCTGCCTCTGGAATTAAAGGTGTGTCTACCAGGCCTGGCTTCATACTTACTTCTTAAGGTCAAACACAGTGACTCTATTCCCCACGGGGCTGATAACGGAATTTCCATCACTTGTGAAATTTAAATTTCCACGTCGATAAACCGTACCCAACAAATTTGAAAACTGCAAAGAAACCAAAGTAAACTGAGCACGATGGCAACAGTCTCGGCTCTCAGAGGCAGCGAAGGGAGGCACCTGGGCAGAGGTGACAGAAGGTCTGGCTGTAGGGCCCTGCTCTGCTCTTGGGGCACTTCCTGGGTAAGAGTGGAGCCCGACCTGATTCTCAAGACCCCGGGGTTCCTGGCAAGGTGAGAAGCTCTCAAGACAGGCATTTGCCAGGCACACGACGCAGGATCCCCATGCAGGAAAACTGACCAGGGGAGCAGGGCTCCAGGAGACCACTGGGTTCACCACACCCCATGGACGCTGTATGGCAGTGTCCGTTATCTAAGTGCCTCTCAAACACAGGCATTCACCACAGCATGCTGCTGGGCATGCAGAGCCTTCACCTCACGGTCTGTGTCCAACTGGAAGGGACCCGGCAGGCGGACACTCAGACTGTGAAATCCACCCAGTGCGGCTGAACAGGGACTGCCTGGGCCGAGACCCAAGCAAGGAGCCCGCCGGGCCGGGGACCATCCAGCAGTCCAGGAAGGAGCTGGGTGCCATGGGGTGTGAGACCGGGCGGGGGCGGGATGCGGCCTCGGGTTCCCTGGGGACCTGCAGCAGCCACAGGATCAGTTGCTGGCAGGGTGGGCACAAACCAGGGGCAGGTGCTGCAGCCCAGGGTGGGCCGTCTGGTGGGGAGCAGGGTCCGGGAGACCCGGGAAAGTCCTGGGGTTCCACCCAGCCGTGGCCCCCCAAGAACAGGGGCCATGCGCCCGAAGCCCCCCCCCCGCCACGCACTCACACGGTACGCGAACTTCATCTCGCAGACACACGTGCACGGGCTTTGCCCCGGACAGCCACTTCCGGGACAATGTTGTCTACCGGCGGTGCGATGGACGCACTTCCGGGGCGGGACCACGCGTACGGAGAGAGCCCCGCCCACCCCGGCAGTGCGCATGCGCCCGCCAGCCCACGGCTCCGCTCCCTGGGTGAGCGACCCCAGGGCCCCGCCGAAGGGACTCGAACGCGCAGCCCGGCCGTGCCAGCGCGAGAGAACCAGTTCATACGGCTTCTTAAAATGTGTGTTTTCAGAATTCTAATGCTTACGTCTAAATCTTAACACGGCGGGTTTAGTGTGACATCACGTGACAGAACAGCGTGGCGTGACCGCTCCTGTGAAGTTAGAGTGGAGTTCGCGCGTGCGGCGGCCGCCCAGCCCCGTCCTGGCCCGCTGAGGAGCCGCTGCCGTCCGAACGGCAGTTTGGAGCCGGGGACAGCGTGAGAAACGGTGTAGAGCCGTGCAGGACTTCGCTGCGGAGACCACTGGGCAGCCCAGCTCTGCATAGAAAGGGACGCAGCTTTTCGGACGAAGTCTGACACGAATTTCGTTTAAAATTCGATTCCCGGCATGCACATGGCGGCTACGAACCGTCCTTAACTCCAGTTCCAGGGGACTCCGAAGCCCTCTTCTGACCTCCGCGGCACTGCGTGGCATGCGTGCAGGCCGTACCCTCAGTATTTTCAAACTTAATCCTGAACACCGAAGGAGCGCGCGGTAGCTCCCCAGGGCAGGGCCAGGCTGCTCCGACCAACTGCAGAAAGTCCTCGGATTAAACCCGATTCCCACACTGGAATCAGACCTTGTAATTCTTCCAATCACAGGGGACGTCATGACCTGTTACGTTACAAAAATCGTAACTCGTGTTCTGACCCTGTGTCTGTCTGTCTTATGGGTAGGGCCGTCTGCAAACAGCGACACGCTTGCTTTCGAGACACACTTACCTGGCGTCACTCTGCCGGACCTCTGCTGTATCTTCAGCAAAACCAGCCTGTTTCAAACAGCCTCACAACAAAAATCCAATGACTGCCTTCAAGCCACTCTAGGAATATTAACAAGGGTGACTGCAACCTGTGAGTGACACCCTCCTGTCAAGGCAGGGGCACTCATTCAGTTTGAAAGGACCTGGGTAGCTCGGGGGAAACTGGTGACATTTGATTTCGTTCACTCTTTCCAGAGGACATGAGACTAGGGCAACTTTGGATTTCTCCATTGTTCTCTGCTAAATACGTGTAATTAGAAAATGCATCGAGAGAACTCAAGAGATAAGAAAATCAAGGAATGCTAAGCTCAGGATTGCCCTGAGCCCCCATCCCCACCCCACTGAGGCACAAGACACCGGAAGGAGGCTCACAGCACGGGGTGGGGCTTTCCTGATAGATCAAGTCTAAAGACCTTATCATTCAAGGGTGTGGCAGGTCTATAGGGAGCTGTCTGGCTTCACAACAGATTTCGGAGGCCAGTAAACTCTCAGCAAGTACAAAGTTCTAACTAGCCCAAGTTGATTCGTTTTAAACTGCACATAAATGTACTAAAAGTCACCGCATGAATTTATCTTACATACTTTATATACTTCTCCAGTTTCTGCAAGTGCAGACTTGAGGTAAAAAACAAACAAAAAAATCACACTGTCCTTTATTCTCCAAATGACACTGAATGCCGAGAATGGCCACTTGGTTCTCCTGGCTTCTGCCCCTGCAGACTCCCTGTGTCCAGCCTGTAGAGCTTGGTCCTGATGGCTGGACACAACTTAAGAGGGCTCTGCATCTCAGGTTCCACTCCAGAAAGCCATGCCATCAATCCAGAACATTCTATTTCATATGTACAAAAATGCATCACTTTTGTAGAGCTGAAGACATGTAATACACTCAGCATGTATTTACAAGCTGGGACCTCCACACCAATAAAAACAAACACACATTTATTTTGTCTTTGATTTTTGGTGCAACTTATACATAAACATTACATCAGTCTGTACTCTTAAAAATAATAAATCAACCATATGTACAATTAAATTTACAACTGAAAGTAAATGAACCCGTTGGTATGGTATGACTGCAACTGTGGACCAGCAGAGGTTCCTCCAAGCCCTGAGTCCTTCCCTGCGACCCGACTGGAGCAGTCCAGGGGACCCTCTCATCTTCACTTGAGATGGAGTGTCTTCACTTCCAAGACTTAAGGTGCAAAAGATGTCAATTGTACAGCTACAATACAGGAGCGGACTTTAAAGTGAGAGAAAACGTATCACCCCCACATATGACAATTAAAATAAATATATATTTAATTCCAAGTGCATGTGATATTCAATCAACATTAGGGGAATCAAGGATCCAGAACATTTATTCCTCAACCATCTCCATGCCACGTTACCACATGCCCTGGTCAGATCACTCTCCAGTACCTTTCACGTGGATGGATTTTGTGGTCTGCCAGGCATCCCAAGGCACAGAAGGGGTTATGTTCCCTCAACCCCACCCTACCCACCGGCCCCAAAAGGTGTTACTATAAAACCATAACTAGGGGTCTGGAGTGTAGGACAGTGTTTCACCCCTCAGGAGATCCACAAGTCCTCCAGGTCCAGGAATTGGGCAGTATGTGACCAGAAGAGCACACGGTGCCATAAGAAGACCAACTGAGGGAGGTCCACCTGAAGGACAAGCAGCCAGCAGTGGGGGAGGCTGTGGGTGGAGGTCAAGGAGGTCAAAGATGAGCTGGGGGAGGGGCGGCATGGTGAGCTGGGGACACCAGCACAGGGACAGGGATGAGAAAATAAAAATCTGTGTCATAGACGACATGAGGTGGCGCTCTAACCCACCGAGCAGCTGAAGGACACTGTTCTCTGCTGAGCTGGGAGCCAGGCAGGACCACCAAAGTCTGGTTAGGGCTATCACGTTACCACAGACCACAAGCCAGTCACAATCCCTAAAGTGCACTCCCGGCCACTCTGTGGCTTTGCTGCCCACGGTGTGGTCAGGTGACACTGATTTCCAGGACGTGGTCATCTTGGCTGGGAATGACCAGGATCTGCATGCCAGTGCTAGAGTTGAAGACCTGGCCGGCGGGCAGTGCCTGGAGCCGGGGCATGGGCAAGCCTTTGTGCTCGCTGCTGGAGGCTGAGTGCATGCTGCCTCTGCTCCTCAGGCTGCTGCAGTCCAGCTGGTCGTCCAGGTGCTTGTCCACGGACAGGCTGTCGTTTTCTATCCAGCTGTCTGTGGAACACACAGGAAGTCAGGCCAAGCCAGTGTCAGAAGCCTGAGGAGGGGGACACTACCCTGGGCTACTGTCTTAGTGAAAGACTATTACCTAAGGCACTATCTTCAGAGAACTATGTGATGCCAGGGCAACGGACTGGGGTTTCCTGTTCATTTCTATTGGCCCTGAAAACGTTTTAATTCTCCAGTCTGCTGTTCACAGAAGTTACCACCTACTCAAGTAGTTTGTACAAGATGGTCCTCACTACTGCTGGCTCTGCCTATGGCCTCCTCACTGTGTTCGGCAGAAACAACACTTAGATTTTGAGTCTAGCTCTTTGCTGGGCTGGCAGTGCAGTCTGAGCCTCTGGATGCCCAGAAGTGGCAGTGACTACCCCCCAACCCCCACCCCATGATCCCCACCATGGCAGGAAAAGGGTGGGCTGGCACCAAGGACACTGAGCAGCCTGCAGGTTGAGGTGCTGTGTTCTGTGTTTTGAACCCCATCATGTCTACATTCATACGTGGGCATGATACCTTTACTTTTTTGTTTGTTTGCTTTAGACAGAGTCTGACTATGTAATGCTGGCAGGCCTGGAATTCACTATGAAGACCAAGTTGGCCTGAACTCACAGAGATCTACCTGCCTCTGCCTCCAGGGAGCTGGGATTAAAGGTATGTGCCACCATGCCTGGCCATACCTTTACTTTTAAAACAGCTCTCCCCGTGTTAATAGTTTTGCACTTTGCGGGGGAAGGGGGTGGTGAGGCAATGCTAGGGGGTTCAGCAGGTTCGGGCAGTTAGTGCATCAACTTAGGATGCTTTCCGCTTATGATGGGTTGTTGGGTTGTGACCCACTGTATAGAGGAGCAAGTGCTGCTGTGCAGAGACTCCTTACCAGCATCCAGCTGTGAGGCATGTGCAGAGTGATGGGGGAGGTACTTAAACAGTCGGACGTCAGGCAGGGGCAGGTAACCCGCAAAGAGAGGCATCACTTCCATGTGGACTCTGTGGGTGGCCTGGGCAGCCACAGGCATGGAGATGACACCACAGCTCTTCCCACACACGGCCCAGTTGCTGCTGTTGTCCACGACTAAAACAAGGAAGACAGAAGACAGACCATTCATGTGCACCGCAGTCAGAACCCCGCCTGTCCAGTCCTCACACGAAGACAGACCATTCATGTGCACCGCAGTCAGAACCCCGCCTGTCCAGTCCTCACACGAAGACAGACCATTCATGTGCACCGCAGTCAGAACCCCGCCTGTCCAGTCCTCACACGAAGACAGACCATTCATGTGCACCGCAGTCAGAACCCCGCCTGTCCAGTCCTCACACGAAGACAGACCATTCATGTGCACCGCAGTCAGAACCCCGCCTGTCCAGTCCTCACACGAAGACAGACCATTCATGTGCACCGCAGTCAGAACCCCGCCTGTCCAGTCCTCACACGAAGACAGACCATTCATGTGCACCGCAGTCAGAACCCCGCCTGTCCAGTCCTCACACGAAGACAGACCATTCATTGCACACCACAGTCAGAACCCTGTCTGTCCAGTCGTCACACACACAGTGGTGAGACCCCCACTGTAGAGCACATGCGTCTCATGTGCTCTAACTACCAAGGCACTCCAAGTTCTCAGTACGGTATTCAATTAGGTCTAGTTTCGACTGGATTGATCACATTAGATGTAGGCAGAGAACATTTTCCCTCAGATAAAGGAAGTATGACTGAGGAGCTTGTCTGGGGTGCAGGGAAGTGGCTACATCAATGGTCTGTGTTGTGCTTTGGAGATACAACATTCCCAAAGGCTCCTTGGGGAGGCTTGGTCCCCAGTGGGTGGTGCCACTGAGGAATCATAGGACGCTAACTTCACCGGCGGAGTCCAGTGATGAGTTCATACTGCATTGTAGGTGGTTAGCAGGTAGGGCCCAGTTGGAGGAAGGTGGTCACTGGGGCTGTGCCTTGTAAGGGTGTATCCTGTCCACAGGCTCCTTTCCTTCCCTGAGTCCTAGCTGCTGTGGAGTAAGCAGCTCCTCCACCGCACACCCTGGCCACCGTGCTCCTCCTTGCCTCAGGCCCAAAACAAAGGAGCCGGCCAATGGTGATGAACTCTGGAACCATAAGCCAGAGTAAATCCTTCCTCCTTTGGTTTTCCTGGGCATTCTGTCACAGTGATGGAAAGCTGACCAGCACCATCTAGATTGTGCCCCTGCTCAGCCTGTCTGGCCTCTGGATATGACCACCTCATGGAATGAGAACATTCTGAAGATTCTCAAGTATGTGAAAAGAAGGAACCCAGGTAACACTGGGGGCCCTGAGACATACGAGGCCTCAGCATGTGGCAGCTGTCACCAACATGGTTTCTTAAAACTACCTCCATTGACCCAGGGCAGTCCTACCACCCAGCAGGCTCTTGGCTGGACTAGCCTTGGGTCAAGACAGTGAGTAAGGCTATCCTGGGGCCAGGGGGTGGGAAGCCTGACAGGACCCTTCCCAAAAGAAGCAGATGAGCAGCAAGGACACAGCTTCCCGCTGTGTGACGCCAGCAGCCGCCCACGCCATTTGTGACCTGAGGGCCAGGAGCAGCAGGGGCAGGTGGGATGGCTGTGAGGTCTGGTGATGCTGCAGACACATCCTGATGAGGCCCAGGTCACGCTCACCACTGTGTCCCTCACACCCTTCACTAGCACAGACTCCTAGGCCTGCCGACTGGACCTCACAATACCCTCCACAAAGCTCCAACCATCCACTGGCAAATTCAGCCCCAAGGAAGCAGTTTTGTTTTTTTAGAAATTACATTTCTAAAGGTGGTGGAACAATGGCTTTAATCTCAGTAGGCAGAGGCAGATGGATCTGTGAGTTCCAGGCTAGCTTGGTCTATATAGAAGTTCCAGTGCAGCCAGGACTATATAACAAGACTCCGTCTCAAAGAAAAAAAGAATTACATCTATTTATTTAGTGAGTAGGGGGTGTATACATATGTGCCATGGCCCTCATGTGGAGGTCAGGGGCTAACTTGAGGAAGCTGGTTCTTTCCTTCCACAATGTGGGTCCCAGTGATCAAACTCAGGTCATCGGGTTTGGTGACAAGCATCTCTACCTGCCAGTCTATAAGCATCTTCTAAACTGTGAAGTGTGTGTGTGGACTCACTGGAAGTTGTGCTCGCATGACAGAGATCACGGCAACCGGCCTTCCCCACTGTACTGTCTCAAACCCACACGGCACAGCATGGTAACCAGGGAGCAGTCCTCGAAGGCCCACCAGTTCTGCAGGACTTGGGTTGGACTCTGAGCCTGTGTGGATTTTAATGCAGCACCATGGACACGGCCTCCTGCTACCAGCCCTCAGCATGACCTCTGCCAACATCTGAGCCATTCCCCTCCCTGTAACGGTCACCCAAGAATGCCCCATCCCAGTGGTGTCACATAGTACTTAACCTCCTCAGACGAGGGGTAAGGACATCCAGCAGGACGCTGTGTGTAACCAGAATCCACTCTGTTTTACCGTAGCGGCCAGCAGCTGGACATCTGGGCTACTTCTTGTCAGGATGGCAGCTGTGGCCAGAAGTGGGGAGAGCGCTCTGCACTGTGTGCTGAACAGGGGCTGCTTCCACAAAGCTCAGCTATGTGAGATCAGGACGGGACACTGCAGTGCTCAGTCTTAGTATCTGGCAGGTAAGGCTTCCGTATCACTTCCAAGAAAAGAGCCAACACAACCAGGCATGGTGATTCACACCTGTCATCCTAGCAGGCTGGGGCGGGAGGACTGCCGTGAGTTCCAGGCCAGCCTGAGCTACAGAGTGAGACTGTCTCAGCCCCCCCTTACCACTCCCAAATCAGCCAACAGTACTTGCCATGATTGATAAACGTAAGACTAAAAATAAGACACTGTGGAGCTTACATTTGCCTCTGTGCTCTTGGTAGCTCCCTCTGTGCTGAGCCTCATGGATGGAGGCTCTGACACTAGATTACAGAGGTGGGAAACCATGTTTTCCAAATGACCAACACAGGGTGCTATGCAGTGACATCTGGGCAAGACTCATTCCAAACAGGACCCCTGGGAGGGCTGCGTGGAAGGAGTGACTCGGAGTGCGTGGCTGTGGCCTGTGAAGGACAAGTCCTGAGGAGCCGGGTGCAGCAGCATGGGAAAGCGCCACACCATTGGCGAGTCTGCATCCAAAGTCTTCCCACCCCACCACTCAAGGCTGCAACTTCCTCACATACTTCAACCAGTACACGTCTCTCCTCAGAAGGGACACAGCTAGACACGGGAATTCAGTCACCTCTGACTACCAGACATTAAAGAGACAGACAGCCAAGCACAACGCAGCCACACGCACATCTCTCTTTGTTTAGGGATGTGGCTGTTTTTCATGGAAAGTGTCGTGTGGTGGGTTTACTATTATTTTTAGTTAATTAGTGTGCATGCATGATGATGCATGTGTGTGGGCATACACATGCCAGCACATGCATGTGGAGGTTAGAAGACAACATTCAGTAGTCAGTTTTCTTTCACCGTGGGTTCCAGGATCTAACTCAGGTTGTCAGGCTTTGTGCAGCGAGCACTTTTGTCTGTTAAGCCATCTTGCCAACTCTATTTATGCTTACATACATACATGTGTGTGCAAGTATGCATGTAACATGTTTGTGTGCATGTTAAGGCCAGAGGTCCACTTTGGCTGACATTCTTAGGCCCTGTCCACCATGTTTTTGAGACAGTCCTCCACTGGCCTGGAACACATTAAGCAGGTGCCTGGCCAATGACACCACCTTCCCAGCACTGTGACTGCAAGAGTGAGACACCACACCAGCTTTTTAAGTGAGTCCTGTGCCCGTGAGGCAAGCACTTTAATGACTGAGCCATCTCTCCAGCCCTACTTTTTGAAGTAGCCCAGGCTGGACCAGAACTTCCTAATCCTTCTTTCTACCTCCCAAATGCTGGGACTACAGCACGTGTCGTCTCACCCAGTCGACTGTTGTTTTGTTCTTGTTTAAAAATTTTTCTTTGTATTATTATTATTATTTTTCTTTTGGTCTTTTTGAGACAGGGTCTCCCTGTAGCCCCAGCTGTCCTGGAACTCACTATGTAGACCAGGCTGGCCTTGAACTCACAGAGATCCACCTGCCTCTGCCTCCCGAGTGCTGGGATCAAAGACGTGCACCACCATGCCGGGCCTCTCTTTGTATTTTGTATTATTACTGTGTGTTTGTGCACATACACACATGCACAGCCACGTGCTTGCCATGGTGTGCATGTGGAGGTCAGAGGGCAACATGTGGGAGTCAGTTCTTTCCTTCCGCTGTGGGTTCCAAGGGTTAAGCTCTGGTCATTAGGCTTGAATGGCAGGTACTTTTACCCACTAAGCCATGTCATTGGCCCCACTGTTATTTTAAAGTTAGTAAGTATCAGGCTTGTTATCACATTTGGAGTGACCCTGCAAAACTGAGGAGACCAGGCTTCAGGAGAGCTGGGGCTGGGGAGTAAGAAAGGGCAGTAGGCAGGTGCCAAGAGCCTCAATACTAGGAAGACCCTGAACCACACACACAGGAGGGCCTTGTGCTCTGTCCTGAGCCCTGAAGCTGCTCCATGTGCTTGTTCCAATGCTCTGCAATAAGAGAGCTGTTCAGTGAGCCTAGGGATAGGGAGCAAGTGCTGTGACCAGACCTTCTCTCCCAGAAGTCACATTCACTGATGGCACTAGAACATCATGGCCAAGAGGAGCTCAACACCTACCTTCGTACATAAGCTTTGTGGAAAAATACTCGTCTGACTCCACAAGTGCTTCGTCCTTGTCCACCTCCAGGAGGCCGGCAAGCCGCGTGATGGATACCTCCAAGGGGCAGAGTGAACCTGTCCTACAGTACCCGGCTCCGGAGGCAGGGAGGATCTCGGCTCTCACAGTGTACAGTGTCTGGCAGGAAGGGATGGAGAAGTTAGAAGAAAACTTGCCCCCGAAGCCAGAAGAAAGGCTGCCAAAGGCCAGGGCGGAGCTGCCTGCCAGCTTTTCAGCATGAGGAAGGCGGGCCACCATGGGCCACAAGAACAACTGCTGTGGCTGCGGCTCCTGCTGCAGACAGCCTGGCCTTAAACTTTTTCTTCTTAATTTATTATTATTGTGTGTATGAGACAGTGCGGGTATGGATGTGAAGGTCAGAGGAAATCTGTGGAGGTGGTTCTCTCCCTCCACCTTTACGTGGGTTCCAGGGATCAAGCTCAAGGTCAGGCTTTTGTGATAAGTGCCTTTATCTGCTGAGCCACTTCACTGGCCTCAGACTCTTTGAATTATGGATATTCTCACACATGGGGAGAACGGGCAGAGGAGGAGCACGCGTTGCATCTCCCCACGTTAATGGCATCAACATCCTACTCATCTGGCTTGTCATGCACAATTCTGAATCTGCCTAAGGTATTTTGAATCAAATCCCAAACAACCTGACATTCTACCTCTATTCACACTGAACATTACTAAAAAAAAAAAGACATTTTTTACCAAAACTCGACTCCATTACCCAAATTGGAAAATTAACAGGAGCCCCTGGTACCGTCTGATTCAGCCCACAACCTACTTTCTCCGTAGTGACCTTTTTCTAAGTGGCTTTTCACACAGCCAGCATTTCATCACCACTCAGGACAAGCCCAAACCAAGGGTCCCAACCACCTGCCAATGTGGCACAGGCGCGAGGCCCTGGCACTGGTGGCTCCGGCCTGGAAGCTAGGTGTCTTCACCACTACGTGGAACAACCCAGCATAACCACCCAAAGCAGCATCTTCCCATTCGAAAGATCAGTCTGGGATCTGACTGAAAAGCCTCTAAAGACTCTTCGCAATGACTGCACCTCTGGATTCTCAAACAGCCTGATCCTGATTTTCCTGTCAGATGCTCATCTAAGTCTATTTAGAGGCAAACATTCCCCCCTCGAAGAGCTGCAGGCCTGCACCTCTTCCACCACTGAGCTCACACGTGAGTATGTGGGACATACAAGTCAGCCCTCTGACCAAGGAGGAGGTGCCTAGGAATGCTGAATGAGGGCTGGAGAGATGGCTCAGTGGTTAAGAGCACATGATGCTCCTGCAGAGGACCTGCACACATCAGGGAACTCACAATCACCTCTAACTCCGGTTCCAGGGGATCCAGAGCCCTCTATTGGCCTCTGTGGGTACTGCACTCATGTGTACATACCCCCCCACAGATATATACACACAATAAAAAAAAAAGTTAAGCTAACTGGTCCGATCATACAGGCCAGCTCTAAGCCACTTAATAGAGAAAGGGTGGCCATTCACACATCCTGCTCTGCACTTTAGTGGGATACACTGGTAGAATGCTTTTGAGCCCAGCAAAGGATGTGCTTTCCAAGGGCCTGGAGGCACAAATGGTGGTGGGTTTGTTCTCAAGCATGTCTTCATGCTGCTTCTGGAGGGAAGGGAGTGGCTGCAGGGAGGGAGCTGGCCCCAAGAGGTAGCAGCAAGAACCTCCCAGTGGACCACAGAGGCTGCAAGCCCATGACTGGATCTGGGTTTCTTCAGCAAGAAGCTCAGTCACCACCAGCTGACGTCTGACAGTGGTGTCAGGCCACTCTAGGGTGCAGCCAAGTGGTATAAGGACACTGACAAGCCACAGAGCAGAGCAGCTTAGGCTGATCCTTCTCACCACACACAGAATGTCAACACAAGCACACGACGTCCAGTCTTAGAACCTTTATATCCTTAAGAGGTGACTCCTTAGATCTGAGACCAGAAGTATGAGTGGAAAAGAGGAAAGTTGACCTCGTCACACTGAACACTGTGCATGTCCACGGACATCACCAGGACGGTGAGAGGCCAGCTGCAGAGGGGGTTAGAATCATACCACCAACAGCAGACACCTGGATACACAAGCGCTCACAATCCCATCAGAAAGGACAGAGGATTCCAACTAGCACATCTCCAAAGAGGACGCACACAAAGCCACGGACCACCCCAGCCTCTCGGGAAACCCCCCCCCCCCCCCGACAACACAGCCTCCACACCACTGACACGGCTGGCTGTGAGAAAACAGCAGCAGCAATACTGTGAGAGAGCTGGCCTGGCACCACAGAGTCAGTGGAGCGAGCAGACATGTGGCCCCTGGAAGTAGAGATCTGCAACATTTCAAAAGTGTACCAAAGTTACATTATGACCCAGCAACTCTACCCTTACCAAGAAAACTGGTTATGTCAGTCCATGTAAAACATCTATGCAGATTTTTCCCAGCACCACTGTCATAGCAGCATACTATCAAAGTGGAAGCAACAAGATTCTAGCCACTGAAAACAAAGGACATGTGGTTCATCAACAGTGGACTGTGATACAGCCATGAAAAGGAAAGAAGTCCTGAAACATGCTTCCAGATGGATGAGCCTTGAGGACACCATGTTCAATGAAATAAATCGGTCACATGTCCCATGATCCCAGTGATAGGAAATGCTCAGAATGGGCAGGTCCACAGGCAGATCTACCTGCAGCTCATAGGTGTGCTTGAGTAAGGAGGAAATGGGGGTGGCTGGGGATGGTGGGGGGGTTCCCTGACAACACAGAGAACGAAATCAGTGCAGTGGTCGCACAACTGAGTGAAGGGAGTGCTGAACACACTTCAAGTGGTGAGCGCCATGTGCACGGAGGACTTCAATGCGGCTTTCCCACATGTGGCAGAAAAGCGGACCGCCCAGGTGTGTGACTGGCACAGCTCCTCAGCAGGAGGCTACGGCTCCCTGGCCTTCTACTCAGCCTGTGAAGCTGAGGAAACACTCTGCACGTGGTCAGCCTGAGAGGGAGGAGGGAGACAGCGAGGCACTGGGACACACCGACCAGTGACCTCCACACCTGGGATCCCCTCCCACTGCACGTCACGCCCCCGAGCCATCTGTCCAGCGCTACGCAGAGACTGGTTCTGCTCAACTCGAAGGCTAATCTACAGAACTGAAGAAAGCAGCATTTCAGAACAATGTCTGCTTTGGTCAGAGGGAGGAAAGCTGTCAAGAGCTGTTCGCCCAGAGGCATTCCCGAGAACACCCGCAGGCTCACCGCTGCAGCTTCCTGGCTGGATCACCCAGCAGCATGTCAGTTAGGCTGTGCTAACCGGAAAAAACCCAACCGGGCCTACGCAGGACACACTCAAACTGGCCTTGACCACAAGAGGCAGACTGTGAAAAACTCCCCAGTCTTCCACAGCGGAGTCCTGTAACAGTTCCTGTCTGCATCTGAAAAATTAGACATGTCGTAGAAAGCAGTGCCCTGAGTGGGCGCTCAGGATGCACACACAGTGTTCCTATCAAGCACCTCCAGGTCGATCGGATGCAGCATGAGGAGGGCAAGGGAACCAACCATCACACTGCCAACACCATAGGTGCACCTCAGGCATGTCACTGAGGACAGGCGATGAACTGCTCAGAAGTCACAACCTTGCCTGGGCCATAGCTTCGCTGCACTCAAGAATCCACTGGAACTTGAGTATCAAATACGACACACCGGTGCCTCCCACGTCCCATTCCCCAAATGAACGCATTACGTACAAAAAAATTCTCCACTTGAAATTCGTAAGTGTAGGGCTTCAAGGAGATGGCCAGCTGCTCTTCAGAAGCTGGGGAAAAGCCCACAGAGAACCGGCAGTGCAGGGGAGGGGGAGGCTCCTGGCTCCACGTCAGCTCCCAGACGAAGAACACGGACTGCTTACTGTGGATATTCTGCAACGAGAGGTGCGACCTGGGTCACAGTGCTGAGCCCCCCAGAGGACAGGCCTCCTTCAATGAAGGGGGTGCGTGTCAGGAGATGTTCCCAACTGAGCCTGTGGGTGCCTGTGGTCAAGCAGCACTGTACACTGGCTTGGTCCTGCCTGCCCGGCCTGGTGCAGAACCCTGCTCCCAGCTGGTAAAAGGTGCCTATGTTATAAAGCCTGACTGTATAACCTTCATAGCATCAAACAGCAGGAAAAAGCAGCTTCAGATTTCTGTTAGTACACAGCACACTCCCGCATGGCTCCAAAATGGGAGATCATTCTAACAGTCCAAATCCGACATGTGGGAGAGCCTGGTCCCACTGATGGCACTGCCTAGAGGTAGTGGAATCTTCAGGAGGTAGGGCTGGTGGAGGAAGGTGGGACCTTCCATTCCCACCCCTGCCCCTCCATCCCTCCCTTCTCTCGTTCCTGTCATGAGGTAAGCAGCTTTGCTCTGCCATGTACGCTCTACTACGATGTGTTGCCTCCGCGAAGGCCCGAAGGCAACAAGGCGGTGACCGTGCTCTAAGCCCTCTCCTCCTCCTCCTCTCAGGCATTGTGTCACAGTGACAGAGGCTGACATGGCCATCACCCAGTTTATATCCACACCAACCACTTCCTATTAACAAAATGACCTTAGAAACACGCGTGGTCAGATAATGGCCCAAACACCAGGGTCCTCAACTATACATCAGTGACAGGCTCAACAAAGATATGACGATGCAGAAAGGCCGAAAATGCCAAAGCTGCAGGCGCCACCAGGATGCTCAGATCCCAAGTCAGCATAACTTACCATGAAAAGCACACATGGATAGGGCAGGAAACACCAGGGAGCAAGAGCCTGGATGCAAGCCTCGGAAAGCCTCACTGCACAGTGCCATGGTGGCAGGCCTTTATCTACCACAGCATAGGACCATTAGGATGACAGTGTGCACAGATTAGCAGAGTCCTACGCAAGCCTGCATTTACATAAATCATGCACGATGCAGGGCGAATTCAAGAGTCAATTCTAAAGGACAGGCTCTTCCTAAGCCATCTGCTGCCCCCTCAGCCCTCCAGACCCACTTGTTCTACAAGTGAACCCCATATGCACGTGGCATGGCCACAACTCTGCCCCAGGCGCTCCTTGGTGCCAATGAGCTCTCCACATCAGCAGCAGGCTCTTCTGTGCAGCCTCTTCCTCAGCCTGCTGAGAAGCCAGTGCTCAGGCCGGAGGGCAGTTACCTGCTGGGACTGTGTGTTCAGGGGTATCAGTCGCAGGTCAGCAGCATGGCCCATGTCTTCCAGATTACTATCTGAGAGTTGAAAGTCCAGTTCTGACAGGTTCTGGACACAAACTTGCACATATTTCCTAAGGCAGAGAAACAAAGTGGGTCACTGTGACATTTGGGAACCCTATTGCCTGTGTTCCAGCCCTGCTGGGGGAGTCTGACTAGCCAGGGCAGGGAAGAGACGAAGATGTTGTACCAAACTTCCACCTTTGAATACACTGAAAAGGGCCAACATGAATCTTATACAGTAGTGACCCTCTGTGGGAAAGTGAACCTGGTGACACATAGTGCCCTAAGAGCCACTGAGTCACAGGAGGAGCAGCCCCAATGCACTCCCTCACTGGAAACCCCCACCCACTTCACCTTTGCTTCCGGGAAAACACTGAAAAGCAAGTCTTTAAAAAGACACGACATGGTAAAAAATAAAATAAATTTTTTTAAAAAAGGGGCCGGAGAGATGGCTCAGTGCTTAAGAGCACTGACTGCTCTTGCAGAGGACCCAGGTTTGACTTCCAGCACCTACATGGTGGCTACGAACTGTCCTTAACTCCAGTTCCAGGGGAATCCAAAGCCCTCTTCTGACCTCTGTGGCATTGCACATGGGTGCGCTCACATACATGCAAGCAATACACTTGTACACATAAAGTAAAAATAATAAATAAAATATTTCAAAAAAAAAGACACGACACGGGTGCACTCACATGCATGCAGGCAATATACTCATACCCATAAAATAAAAATAATAAATAAAATATTTTTTTAAAAACTTAAAAAGAAGAAAACAACAGATCTCCTTAGAGGTTTTAACAAAGCACCATGGGCTCTTTCAGCGATCACGGAGTTTTTACCCTAGAGGTGGCTAGCAACCGACCAAAGGTACAGGCCAGGGGAACTAATAACACAAACCGACAAGGACACACCAGTAGCCCAGGGGAACTAATAACAAGCCCGTGAGGACGCATCAGCACAGAGGGCCTCAGGGGGGTTGGACAACTGGAGGTGCAAATTAGTGGCTTAAAACAGAGAGGACGGGTAGAAAGAGATTGTCTGGTGACCAGAGGAGGACCTGGCTTGGACCCCACATCAAACCAAACACTGAAATGCCATCTGTGAGGCAGAAGGCAAGTTGGGAACAGGACAGAGCTACTGTAATTTCAGCAGGTCAGTAGCTCCATGGTGACATGCAGAAGCCCTAATGACCACCAAGGTCAGCATGCAGAACCAATCCCAGTCCATCTTAGGGAAGAAGCAGGCTGGACTCCATGCCACCTTACCGGGTTCCAGCAGAGAGGAGGGAGTGCGTGGTCCGGAAGGGCACACTGAATGTCAGGGCAACGACAGTGGAGTAGATTGACCACGGGCAGTCGATGGACACCTGGGAAGACAATGCCACCTTTAGCCAACCTGCCAACAGCAAAGCCCTCCATGGCCACCCAGCTGCATGGTGGCTGCCGGCCTCCTAGTCACGTTCTCTTGGTTCCCTGTCACTGTCCAGAGAGGGAATTCTGTGAAACATGTTCATTCTCACACAAACACACAAGAAACAAGGAGTTGCGAAAGCAACAAGAAACAGGCAGAACTGGGGTGGTCCAGGTGTTCCCAGCACCTCGTTAGTGCAGAGCACAGGCCTCTGGGCAAGAGCAAGATCACCTTCGCCACACGCAAGATGTCACTGTGCAGTAAGTGTCCGGAGACCCAAGTCAACTATGAGCCTTACTCAAAAGCAAGCCATTACTGGACCACTTCACCTGCCTGACACGGAACCTAGCGACAAGCTGACCAACGTGGGGGTTGGATAAATCCCCAGTGTGGTGTGTGGATAAAGCCAGGAACTCCCTCTGGCAGAAGAGGAGCAGATCTCAAGTTTGTTTTTATTCCCACACAGAACAGTTGATCTAGGGATGTCACCTTTGCCTCCGAGTTCTCTGCACAGGGTAAGGGAAGAAATCTCATGTGCTTTTCAAGGACTGCAAAGGCATAACCTCTCCCCAGGGAGAACTGCTTAATGCCTCAGAACACAAGGCCTCTAAATGACAGCCATCTAGGCCACTCCTACTGCTCCTGCACCTGCACTACACAATGTGAGAGGCTCAAAGGCCCTCATAATTGGAGCCCATGCCACAGGAGGTGGACGATGGCACATGACGCTGACAACACTCTCCAGAGCCTATTTCCCATGTGCCTGTAACCAGAGCCAGCATCTCTCTCAGAGCCCACCACAGTGGAACTGCTCCTGGTTGAGTTGACCTGAGGCCTGCGCGACATGAGCTCCTGAAACCTGGTCATGGGATCCATAGACCCATCCTTCTTCCCACAGAGACACGGTGGCTCTCACTCTAGTTGGGGTGAGGTCAGAGCCTTAATGGCTCTCGACAGAGGCCCAGGGCATAGCAGGAAAGCACAGGAGGGCAGGGTCAGACTCTGTCCCCTTCTCACAGATAGGTGAGGCTGCCAGCGCTCTACCTTGTGATCTGTGGTGACCATGCAGGGGCCAGCTCTCTGTGTATCCTTCTGTTTCCTGTGGGGCTCTGGCGTCCCCAGAGTACTGTTCCCCTCCACAGCTGTTGGAGCTGTTGGCAAAGACAGAACCTCCAGTTCAAACTCAATCACGTGGTATGAAGGCGCGGCAGGCAGACTGATGCTTGTGACCTTGTCAGAGGACTGGATCCGGAGCAGGGCGGTGGAGCTCTCCTCTGTGGGAGACAGAAAGCCACCTCAGACACAGGCTGTCTTGTCGCCTCCTACCATCAGGAGGCACTGCCAAGCATCTGCTGGCCTGTGTATGAAGGAACACAGTGCCAGGGGAGAGGCAGGGGAACCCAAGAAAGCCCCAAGGCTGGTTCTGCAGGAGGCCGGCAGGCCAGGTACTGCTCAGAGTGCAGACAGGTGGGGCAGCTCCCACATGGAGGCCTGCACACTCCACCCCACCACAGACCAACACCTGCCCAGAGAAGAGGAGGGGGGCTAGGATCAGTGCTTAAAAGCATGACCCGCTTTTGCTCTTTCGAAGTGGGTGGGCTGGATCAGGCTGGAGACGCGCTCACTATGGAGCATGGTCCGGCTACGAAGCATGGGGTATCCCCAGAAAGACTGGCGGCAGCACTTGGCACCCAGGGCACAAACCACGGTCAGTCTACTTCCCCAAATGTAACACCCTGCCCAGGAGGCAGTTTAAGCCACCTACAAATGCTGACCTCAGAGGCCAACACCACAAGTGTCAAGGCACACTGGCAGATGGCGGTAATGTCCAGTCATTCTCCCGACCTCGGTGTGCACAATGTCAGGGGTGCACCTCCCTGCCTCAAGGCTGGGTGGGGTCTTACCTCTTGAGTTAGAATAGATCATGGCTCTATTCTCTGCACCACACAAGATGAGCATGGCTTCCACGTTGCTGAGCTGGAGGCTGTCCCCGTTTTTTACTGTATAATGGCCAGTAGTGACAGTAAACTTGACTTTCTGAGGAATGCCAGCCAAAAGGCTATCTAAATGGGACAAGGCGGCAATTAGCATCACTGGACCCCAGGGAGCAGTCAGGTGAGGTGAAGAGGCTTTCTTTCTCCTACTGCACAGGGTCTGCTAACCCTAGACACACCACAATTCACTCCACCTCCACTCCTTGCCCTAACTTTCCACCTCAGTGCTGTGAACCACAGGACCACGGAAGACCTTGCTCCGAACAAAATCCCCAAGAACCTGAGGAGGCACCAGGACAGAGAAAGGAACTGGGCCGTGGAGCTGCTAGGCCAGCCGGCCCTGTGGGAAAGTGAAGCAGAAGGGGACCGGTAGGAGGCGGAGCCTGCGAACCCCAAAGGGCAAGGCCGCAGCAGGAAGGGGAGCCAAGCCTTGAGAGCTCAGGCTGTCTGCAGCACCATCACGGAAGAACCCCTAGAGCCAGAGTGCAGAGCCACACAGCCACAGGCGCCTGCTGGTGGCCCTGGCAGAAGCTGGAAAGCAGAACAGTAGGGAGAATTGAAGAGACAGCAGGAAAAGTGCTTTACCTTGTTTTGGTTTGTCTGGTTTTTTTGTTTGTTTTCCACAGAGGGTCTCCCTATTCCCCAGCTGGCCTGGAACTCGCTGTACAGACCAGGCTGGCCTAGATCTCACAGAAATCTGCCTGCCTCTGCCTCCCAAGAGCTGGGATTTAAAGGCGTCCGCCACCACGCCCAGCGTTTTTCTTTTTTGGTAAATTTTGTGTTGAATTTTTGTGTCTTTCGTACAGAACATCTTAATCATCTTTATACCCCTTCCCCACTGGCCCCTTCCCATAGCACCTCCCCCACACTGGATCTCATGCATTCTGTTATTTGTCTTAAGGCCTATTTAGGTTGTGTCCCCAGACGTCCCTCAGTGCAAGATCATCCACTGGGGTCTAGTCAGCCTGTCTAGAGTCCCTCCTTTAAGATCAGCACGTCCTCACCCAGCAGTGATCAGCTGACACTAGTTCTTCGGCTAAGATTGGGGCCTGCTGTTCACTTCCACAGTTCTGTGCTGGGTTTTTTTCTGCTTGAGTTTGCATGGGTCTGTGCATGCTGACACCACTGCTGTAGGTTCATATGAGTGGGGATCCCAGGAACCTGTAAGACTCTATTTCCTTATGGTCATGTACCTCCTCCCGTGGCTCTTATAATTTTTCACTCCCCCCTTCTGAAACAGTCCCTGAGCCCTGAATGGGCAGCGTTTAATATAGGAGTCCTGTCCAAGAACCCACACTCTGCAGACTCTTATTCTCTACACTTTGGCTTTTGTTTTAAATAAAAGAGGTTTATCATGGATGACAACGGTTCAAGGTCAAGGATCTGTATGTAGTTATGGCCTCCTGTGGCAGCCCAGGGCCTCAGCTTGGAGTGGTGCATATGCACTGTGTGACGTGTGCACTGTGTATGTCTGAGAGAGCACCAGAACTACAGTCCTTGACAATACTTCCAACCCGAAGAACGTTCATTCCCAGACTAAATCACAAAGACCTTTCCTCACTGGGGCCATAACATGCCATATAGACTGGGGTCACTTGTGAACACCAACTTCGTCTACTTTGAGAACTTCTGAACAGGACAGCAGCTCTGAGTCTCTCGAAGCTGTGCTACAGGGTTAAGCCCACTCAGAACTTTAAGGAGGAGACCTGACCAGAGTGTGAAGTACACCTTGTGTGCTGCCCCTGAAAGGGAGCTTGGACAGGATGCCAGTGTCTCAAGCTCCCAGCAGCATACTTTTGCTTCTTACCTCAGATACACCATGATTTACTAAGCACAAGCTAGTGACCACAGGGCAGTGACTATCTGTGATGGTGTGAATGAAAATGTCCCCCATAGGCTCCAAGTATTTGGACATTTTGTCCCCAGATGATGGCACTGTTTTGGGAGGTTTTAGAAGGTGTGGCTATCCTGGAGGAAGCATGTCACTGGGGGTGGGCTTAGAGAGTTCTTAAGCCTTGCCGGATCTCCAGTTGCTCTCTTGCTTCCTGTGCCTGCGTGATGATGGGAGAGCTTCACTTCTGCTGCTCCTGCTCCAGGCACCTCCAGCCACCTCCAGCCACCATGCCTCCCTGCCATGACAGACTGTAATTCCCCTGGAACCGTAAGTTCAAATAAACCCTTCCTTCTATAAATTGCTTGGGTCAGTGTTTCTATCACAGCAACAGAAAAGTGACTAACACACTATCCCAATGATCTGAGTCACAGCCAGTACCCTTTCCAGGCAAAGTTCCCACTATGTTTTCCTGGTTTTCTCTACAGGCAGACAGCCAAGGAGGAGCTGTGGAAAGTGGCATGTGAGACTCTCCCACGAACCCTACATGGCTTCTTGTGTGGCTGTAGGCCCCACTCACCAGCCAACGGCTCCACATGCAGCTGGGGCTCCTGAGAGTACACGTCATACTGCACGATGGGGTGGATGTGTGCAAGGATGAACCACACGGGACCCACTGAGGCCCGTAGCTGCCGTAGCGTGTATGTTCCAGGTTCCTTGGCCTACGGTCAAAACAAGGTTCCCAAGGTAAGGCTGGGTTTTCCTCTGGTCCAAATGCTGTCTGTCTCCCTGCAACCCTGTCCATGCATTCATCTTCACCCAGGCTGCTCCAAGAACTTGCTGGAACTCAACCCCTTTCTGAGCAACTGACACTTGTGGCTCAGCTTTAGCTTCCAATGAGGCAGACTCAGCATGAGGAACTGCTCACAGGCACACTACTGTGAGACGTTCAGCACTGCAAACCCCGCTGGACAAGATCAAGTTCATGCGGGGCAAAGGGGGTCCTCCCTCAGACCCTGTCCTCTCGTGACAGTGGAACACACAGGGCATCCTGCGTTAGGGCAAACAGTACAGTCCTGACACCCATATATCCACCAAACACAAACAGTTTAAAAGGGCATGCCGCCTTCAAAATCTCCTCAACAGCTGAGGGTGTCTTACTATACACAGGAAACAGCTAGGAAAATCCAATAAGCCAACTAGTTAAAAAGTTAATTGAAACCCCAAACAATTATCTTCATAAAAACTTCATTCAAGGCTGGATGTGGTAGCACACACTTAATCGCACTACTCAGGAGGCAGTGGCAGGCAGATCTCTGTGATTTGGGGACCAGCCTGGTCTACATAGTGAGTTCCAGGCCAGCCAGAGCTATCATAGTAAGACTTTGTCTCTCCCCCACAAAAAACACCAATCTCCTCCAAACAAACCAAAACAAAAAACCCATCCAATAGATGGGCATGGTGGTTCATGCCTGTCAGGAGGCTGAGGCAGGATTACTACGAGTTTGAGACCAGTCTGGGCTACACAGTGAGTTCCAGGCCAGCCTGGGATACAGTATAAGATCCTGTCTCAAAATAAAAACAAAACAAAACAACAGTAATAAATTTCATTCAAAAATCTATTAACAGTCAAAAAAACTATAAATGTAAAAGATGCTTTCTCTTGAAGGACAAAGAGAGAAAGGTGGTGAAGGGCAGAAGGCCTCACAGTGCTCAGTCTCCTGCCCCTTCTCCACCAACCTCAGAGCCATGTCCTGATCCCAGCCCAGCACGTACCTGGGTTCTGAATGCTATCTTGTTGGCTCCTGGCTGCAGAGTCACACTGTTGCACCTCAGCACATGGGCTCCGTCCTCAAGGGTCACCCCTGAGGGCGTCTCTAGAGAGGAGCCACTCTCCTGCCTCCTCAGGAGCATGTGGACATTCCTGCAAATGATGCCTGTGGTGTTCAAAGAGGTACCAGAGGGGCTCCTCTCCAGCATCTCCGACAACTCCAGGGCAGGCAGGGTATTCTGAGATGCAGGGAACAGGGAGGCCTCAGCCGGGAAGGTAATGATCCCATCAGACATCTTGTGCTTGGTCAGCCACTCAGCTGTCTTCCGGTAGTTGTTCTTCTCAATGCTGAAGTGGATGTTGATAGTAATCTGGTCCACACAGACAGGGATGGGCATCTGGCTGCATACCGTTATCTCCACAGTCAGAATGCCACCCGCGTGGACCACAGCGTTGGGAGGGTCAAAATGGAGATCCTTCAGCCGTGCAAATGAGTGCATGGGCAGCACGACCTTGTGACCTGCAAACAACACTTCCATGTTCCAAGCCTCAGTCACAGCTCCCGCTGGTGCTGGGAGGCAGGTGCTAACAGCTTAGCGAGTGTGGGTACTCAGAAGAGAGGTGGCAAGCTTCCTAACCTTCAGCCCTCCTCACACCACAAAAGCGGACTAAAAGAGACATTTAACTCTGGGAAGTTACCAAATTAACAGCACTGAAGGCAAACTTAGGAGGAACATAGGACAACTGCCTCCTCAAGTTTAAACTGGTCAGCAGTCTACTTCCCAGTCTTTTTCAAGGGATGCAAATACCTTCTGAACCTACTTACAGAAATTCACAAGTGAAGTCAAGTGTTCCACTTCCACTGTGTCCCTGGAAGTGAGTCTAGGCATTTTGCCAGACTGTGGAAACAGCGAGGGAGGCTGCTCAGTCTAAGACTGCAGCAGGGCTCTGCACACACACGCTCGCTCACCGCACCCTCTTCTGGCTTCCTTTCTACAAGTGCCTTGGCTTTGCCCAGAGAAATCCAATGCCACTGAACCACCGAGAAGCACTGGTAAGTCACTTAGTATTTAAGGGGCACTGGGGTGGGCTCGGTGGAGCAGTGTGCTTAGCATGCATGAAGTCAAGCCTGTGGGTCATACCATGCAAAAATCAACCAACCAACCAACCAAAGTCAGTCTGCCCATCAAGTAAAGCAGGCTTACCACAAGTTACTTGAAAAACAAGAGGCAGCACTTACAGAACTCATCTCATACAAAGATGCCACATACACCTCCCACACACAGCAGACAACCAGCAGAGGTGCACTAGTCTGCAAACCACAGCACCAGCCTCACGCCCTGAGAAACGCATGCAGGCAGCTCTACTGTGAAGGGAGAGGTAACCCACCTTCGCAGGCAGTGACCACACAACCAGGAACCAAAGCCAAGGGGGACGTACCACCACACACTCAACAACTGCTACAAACTGACCTGCATGTGGTGAGTGGAGCCCTCTCCAAACAATGGCTCTAGGAGATGGGTCTTTGGGAGGGGAATAGATGAGGCTGGGAGGCTCCCAAGAGCTTTCTCTCTTCTCTGGCACCACACAGGACACAGCATAATGGCAGCTATCTACCAGCTAGGAACAAGCCCTCACCAGAACCTGGCCCTGCTGCACTTGACTGTGGACCTCTAGCCTCCAGAGCTTAGAAATAAACGCCTGCTGTTTAAGCCCTGGGCCACAGTGCTTCACTATGGCAGCCTGAGCAGAGAGACTCAGTAACTATCGGGTTTTTTTTTTCCTTTTTCTTTTTTCAATCTTTTTAGTCTTTTTGAAACAGGGTCTCCCTGTAGCCCCAGCTATTCTGGAACTCACTATGTAGACCAGGCTGGTCTTGAACTCATGGAGATCTCCCTGCCTGTGCCTCCCTAGTGCTAGTGCTGGGATTAAAGGTATACACCACCATGCCCGGCTCATAGTAACTATCTTTAAAAAGGGCTCGTAGTCAATTAAACACAAGGAACAGAACTTAAAGCAGTTTAATCTTGCCATTCAAGATCAAGTGTTCTGTGTAAACACTGACCCTGATCTAAGCCTCCAGAGTTGTCTAACTTCATCTGGATGCTCCCATGAGGAGGCCCGGGGCAACTTCACACAATGAGCCAGTCTGTACGACAGTTGGCTCAAAGTGTTAGAGAACACTGAGAAACAGAGGAGATGCACACCACAGCCTCACAAGCCTCAACACACTAGGAGTAAGAAGCCAGTCACAGGAGACCCGTGTCATGTGAGGCTGTGTAAGAAGTAGAGAGATGACTGGTAGGGGATCCTAGGGTAAGTATGGGGCTTCTTCCAGGGTGATAAAATCAACCTTGTTGGTAAGTACACACATCATGTATTTACTAAAAGCCACTAAACTGTACACTTCAAATGGGTGAATTACATGATATGTGAACTCTACCTCAATAAAACTGTTGTAGTTAAAAGGAGTCAAGTGTCTTAAAAAAAAAGATACGGGAGTAAATCTTCTAAACCAAGAGAATTAAGACTTACAACCAAACATAACATGTGCACCAAGAATTAAACATTATGTGGGCCCTCAGTAGAGTACTTAAAGTACTTTGTGTGGGGCTGAGGAGCTGGCTCAGTGGTGAAAAACAGGCAGACCAGGGCTCTGGCCAGTCTAGAAACAGCAAGACCCAGATTCAGATCTTGTCCTCAAAGACAGACGGAGAAGTGACTACAGGCAACCTGATCTCAACCTCTGGCCTACACGTCCACCCACACATGCACGTACGCACACACACTTCATGTACTGGGTATGCGTACCTGTAGTATGAGGGGGCAGAGGCAGGAAGATTGTTGCAAGTTTAAGGCCAGCTTGGTCTACATTGTGAGTTTTTGACTAGCCAAGACTGCAAAGTGAGATTTTTTAATTTTTCTCTTTTTTTTGGTCTTTTTGAGACAGGGTCTCCCTGCAGTCCCAGCTGTTCTAGAACTCACTCTGTAGACCAGGCTGGCCTTGAACTCACAGAGATCCACCTGCCTCCTGAGTACTGGGATTAAAGGCGTGCGCCACCACACCCAGCAAGATCGTTTTTTTAAAAAAAAATTTTATTTATTATTTCAGGGCTGGAGAGATGGGTCAGCAGTTAAGAACATTGGTTGTTCTTGCAAAAGATCCAGGTTTGAATCCCAGCACCTACAGGGCAGCTAACAACTGTCCATAACTCCAGTGCCAGGGGATCCAACAGCCTCTTTTGTCCTCCACAGGCATTGCACAACACGGGTGCACTTACCTACCTGTAGGCAATACACACATACCCAGAAACTAAAAATAATAAATAAAAAACTATATATATATAAAAAATTTATTATTTTATGTGTATAAATGTATTGCTTGCACGTATGTAAGTGCACCCATGTCATGCAATGCCCGAAGAAATCAGAAGATGGTGTCAGATTCCTTAGAATTGGAGTTACAGATGGTTGTTAGCTGCCATGTGGGTGCTGGGATTTGAACTCTGCAAAACAGCCAGCGCTCATAACTGCTGAGCCATCTCTCCATTCCCAAGAGATCGTCTTAAAAAATAAAAATTATAGTAATTTATGGATTTTTTTTGAGACAAGTTCCCCCCTGTAGCCTCAGCTGGCTGGGAACTCATTATGTAGACCAGGCTGGACTTGATCCCATAGAGAACTGCCTGACCATGCCCTGCTGGAAATATTCTTGAGATAATCAAAGAAGTTTGAGCATGGACTCTTAGAGGTGTCAGAACCCTGTGGGCTCCTGTGAATGTTGTGGCGTACTTAGGGTGGAGCACCCTCCTGTCTGGGAGAAGCATGGTGAACTGTCTGAAGTCCTACACGTGGTTCGGAATTGGAGCACCTTTGAAGTTCAGCAAAAAGACAGACGCAAAGAAAGGCAGGCTCACAAGTGCCACAAGCCAGGCTGTGGGCACAGCTCACCCTCCTTTCTACCACCTTGAATGTGCGGTGACGCGACTGGCCACCATCTCACCTGGGTTGTCCTCTTGTTGGCTGGCAAAGCTGAGGATCTCCCGGCAGAAGTACTTCCGCTCCTCCTCCGTCAGGTGACGGTCACTAGCCAGAAGGCTGCTGGTCTGCAGGTAGCTGGAGTGGTGAGTTAAGGGCCAGGAAAGAGGACCTCACGGGAAGGACACCGAGGCAAAAAGACTTCAAAGCACGGCCCCAGGACAGCTGTCATGTTGTTTTTGTAAAAGCAGCATTAAAAACTCAGTTAGATTTGAAAGCAGCAGAGCAGACACTGTCTACACTCTACAAGATGCCTATGGAGGCAGGATTTTCCCTAATACCAGGTGCTGCTGACATACTCAGCTGTGAGCAATCTTCCTGTTTGGGACAATGGACTTAAGAATTCTTTTTTCTTTTTTTTCTAAATATTTTATTTATTATTTTTATGTGTACGAGTGTATTGCCTACATGTATATAAGTGCACCCATGTCGTGCAATGCCGTGGAGGTCAGAAGAGGGCTTCGGATTCTCCCGGAACTGAAGGACTGTTCGTAGCCACCATGTGGGTGCTGGGAATCGAACCCGGGTCCTCTGCAAGAGGCATCAGTGCTCCTAACCGCTGAGCCATCTCTCCAGCCCTTAAGGATACTTTTCAACTTGCCCAAGATGTTTTTGGCACTCTGCAAGCTGCTTCCTGGTATGTGTGACGGGCAGGGCCCAGCCCTCAGCCAGGTAATTTTTCAAAGCTCCCTGAAGATACACTTCCGCCTTCTGTGGCGACCTCTTCCTCCTTGCAAAGTCAGCAAATATAAGCTCGTTAGGGCTCACGAGGACCAGCTGTGGGACACATCATGATGCTACACGTATTTACACAGTTGTTCCCACCCCACCTGACAGAGCTCTGACACATGCCATAAAGGGCCTACCTGAGCAGTCGGCTCCTGGGACACCTCATGTGGCCCTTGGCACCTGACACTAGCATTATTCTCCTTCCTACTGAAGCTCAGGTCAGAGGAAATCAGCAGCCACTTTCTACTGACAGATGGGATGGCCACGGCTGGGAGAAGGGGAAGCTGTCCACAGTCTTCATGGTTGCCCACAGCCAAGGCATGCTGCCACACCACACGGGACCCATGCCAATGGTCAACATGGCTCAGCTATAGATCTCGGGTCATCTCTGACGGGGCAGAGGTGTGCTGGCTCCAGAGACTCAGAGGACCAAGGATTTGACAAGAAACATGTCTTACTGGATAAAACATTCCCAGGCCCAGGGAAACCATGAAGATGCTCAGGGTAAAACTAAGCCAAGTTTGCAGCACAAATTCTCCAGGGCCTACAGTGCCTCAGTGACAGTTTGGCCCCCTCATGCCCTCCCCAGAGGACGGGCTGCTGGATTCATTGGGAGCCAATACGGCCAAGTACTCCAGGGCATCCTTGGGAAGAGTCCTATCTCCACTGCTCTACTTGGCATCATGAGACTTCACCATTCCCTAATGAAATATATTCACAAATTAAGTAAATTTATTTATCATTTTTATTTTCTGTGTATGAGTGTATTGCCTGCATGTGTGTAAATGCACCCGTGTCATGCAATGCCCTCAAAAGACAGAAGGCATCAGATCCCCAGGAACTGGAGTCACGGACAGTTGTTAGCCATCGTGTGGGTGCTGGGAGTAAAACCTGGGTCCTCTGCAAGAGCAGTCGAGTGCTCTTAATCACTGAGCATCTCTCCAGCCCCACAAATTAAGTAAATTTAAACTTATCAGACTACAGTGGTTTATCAGGACTCTTTCAGTCTTCCCAACAATCTCTGTTCTAGGTGGTGGTTGTTTTTGAGACAGCATCTCCCTGTAGCTCCATCTGGCCTGGAACTCACTATGAAGACAAGCTGGTCTTGATCTCACAGACATCCACTTGCTTCTGCCTCCTGGGTGCAGGGACTACAGGTACATACCACTACACCTAGCTAACCTCTGTTTTTAAAAGGGTGCAGAATTTCCACACCTCTTCATTTACTATCTCTAGTACTGGATGGACCCCCATAGACACCCACCAAGTCCTCCAGGGTCTGGGGACCCTAACAAGGAGACATCATCACCCAGCCACTCTGTGGTCAAGCTGGATCAGGACCCCAGGTCCTATCTAGCAGGCTAACGAATCTGGGCCTCTGGATACAGCAGAGGCCACATATACTAACCTCACAGCACCTGAAAACGAAGCTTCTCCACTTCAGGAGCCACACCTGACTCCCTCCCTATACTTCCTCATGACCCTAACCCTGCTGGGTGACAGCTGGCTGTTCCAGAGAGCTTGGAGGGTCACTTAAGTATCTACAAGTCTCTTTCCCACAATGCATATCGGTCCTTTTTTCCTCTACTAAAATTGCTTTAAATACAGACTTCAAAATTTTGTTTCGAAGATGCGGATTTTCTTTTGAGAAAACACAGCCAAGTCTCTTTTCCTTTATAACTGTTAGCTCTTTGTGGTGCTTTGAAACAGAACCCTGCTGCAAGCTGGGCCTTATTTTCCCCAGCAGACTTACCACACACACTAGGAATATTTAAATTTTGACCCTCTTCTCTAGACTGAAAATGCAATGCTGGAGTGTGGCTTCTGCATCCTCCCAGCCATCCCTCCCATGTTTCCAACAAGTGTGTGATAGGCTCTAGAGAAGGCCCACACAACAAAGGGCTCCAGTTGCTGACCCTTGGGAGGTGGGCTTCAAATACTTTCTCATAACTGACTTCTTTAAAGTTACAATGTTTTATGTGTGTGTGTAATCTGACATATATGTAATTACTAAGTTCAATGAAATAAAAGCATGTCAAAGGTAAGTAACAATCATTAAGGTAATAAGCCAAAACCTTTCCATTTGGTTTCTGGAAGAAACTTAAAATGATGGCCAAATAATGGATTCCACATGTTTCCACCTACCAAGTTACATAGACTTTATAAATAAGCCCGTATGTGAATATTCTCATGCATATATATGAAACACTCAAAATGTAAAGAAGAGTTCACGATCAATTACATGTAAAATTCTGCCAGGTCTTTCCCAACCAGCTTGGCAGATCGAATTCTCCCAATACTCGTGTACATCTCAATAGTGGCGTGGGACAAGTCCTGTGGAAAAGTAGAAAGCAAAATCATATACTTGAAAGTTTTTAAAGAATTACTTTTAATTTTGTGGGGGGAGGGTATGTACATGTTTATGCAGTATTAGCAGAGGCCAGAGGCATCAGCTCTCCTATGTGAAGCTGGAGTTACACTTGACTGTGAACTACCAGACAAGGGTTTTGGGAACTGAACCTGGGTCCTCCGCAAGAGCAGTAAGTGCTCTTAACCACTGAACCACCTCTCCAGCCCTGTACTTGAAGTTTTTGTTTTATTTTAAGACAGAATCTCCCTGTAGTCCCAGCTGGCCTGGAACTTGTTACATAAACCAGGCTGTCCTCGATCTCACATAGATATGCCTGCCTCTGCCCCTGCTAGGATTAAAGGTGTGTGCCGCCCCCACTCCCTGCTAATTTAAACCTTTTAAAATCAAGCAGATAGTTCTGCCCAAGCACAAATGGGCAATCTGGGCAAAAGTATTCATCATGTGCTCTTATCCAACAGTTTCTACTTACTGAAGAGGCAAACCCATGAATGAAACTCTAAGTATTCCTCATTCCATTTGTGCCTAATTATGGTCATGGTCCCAGGGGCACTGATGAACACGTGACGAACAATTACCCAGAGTTTTATACACAGCTCCCTTGGGCATCAAAGGAACTACTAAGGCCAACCAAAGGGGGAGGGGGGTCTCAAGTATCATCAGTTCATCCAGTTCAGAAGGCCACATGGAAGAGCAAAGTCAGATGGACTGAGTGGCCCTATGGGCAGACTGGGACCCTTGCCATCCTTACCAAGTAGTGCTTTTCAAAGGCTTCCACCGATGACAGAGCTTCCTGGAGTTTCTTATAAGGACTCTGAGCTGTGTTGGCTGAAACACAAAGGAAGTACACACCCTTATCCAGCAGCAGCACGGACAGTATGTGCGCTTACAATTGCTTTCAAACCGCAGGGAGATGACCTCACTTCACTCTTGCGGAAATCGCAAACGCAGCAGTGGAACTGGCATTTTGATGGTTAATTGTTTCCAACTGTTATATTCACAGAACAGCCCATACCCTTCCCGGAACGCTGCTCTCAGAACTTTGAGACCAGACACCTGAGAAGCATGCAGCACAAACATCCAGCAGGCCACAGCCTGTGAACAGTGCTGCTCTCGGTACACGGTGTCCTTGCCGCGCTCTAGTGCGATCATACCTGTTTCAGGTCGCTCAGCTCCCAAACCTGCCAAAAGATCAACGGTCCTGTTGAGATCTTCTGAGTTGGGGCCTTTTTCTGATGCAAGTCCACACAGGTACCCTAAGGACTTTAGCTGTTGAGGTAAACCCCAATTTCAATTCATTTGCCATAAAGTTAGCAGGTGACCCACAAATCCAAGTACATTCTGGAAGAAACTCAGCTTTCTCATCTAGATGACTCCTGTCTGCATTAACACCATCTCACGAACTGCTGGACTTGCCCCTTCTCCAGGATGGTCCCAGGGCAACCTGTGCTCCACACTCTCCCCGTCTCTGCTCCCTGTGCCCCGTGCCCTACCCCAGCACCCACCCACCACATGCTGGCCCATACCTGCATTTCTACAGCCTGCTGCCCACTAAGCCTTCATACCTGTCCATCCCCGACAGAGGCACTGTCTGTCTGCCAAATAAGCAAGCAAGCATAAGAAACTGTGCCTCTGTGGCTGCGACACAAGGTAAGGATGTGTGTCTCTATTCTGCCAGCTACACAAGCTAGATTTCTCTAAATACATGCACCTGCTACTCTGGCAGCTGCAGAGACAACACGAGCACTCTGTGCCCAGCAGCAGCACCTTTTCTGTGGCGTAGCTCCACAGTCCCACCATGTGGGCGATGTTAGAGTCTATCTGCGCCCGATCACAGCAACCTTCTATCCTCTGCAACACCTCCAGACAGCTCAGAAACACCCAGCAGTCCAGAGCACCAGGAGGGACGGAGACCTGTGAGGGCACAATGCAGGCACGTGAGGACGCTGCTCCAAGTGCAAAGCTACGTGTCCACAGCTTTCAGCCCTCAGCAGATGCCCAGTGTGAGAGGGCCATGACCCAAAAAGTTACAGGCTCATCAGGGAGACAGGAGCGACCTGCGTACAAACATGTCCTTGGGCTGCGTGTCTGAATACTGAATGACTCAGCAGGTATACAATTTTCAGTTACACAACTTAAAACCTTGAAAGACTGACTAATATCACCTAGTTCAGCATGAGAACTGGCTATGCCTTTCTCAGAAAGGACATTAGTGTTCAATGACATTCAACAGTGACAGCTGATGCACACACATGATCAAGGTACTGTGAGTGTAAAAGAATCCCACGGCCTAGAAGACGCACACGAGAACATTCATGATGAACTTCATCCAACGTCAGCATGTGCTTAAAAAACAATCCCAGGGGAAGCGGGCAGAGAAACAACATTTCGTCAGACGAATGCGAGGAGAGACCATACCGGAGCCGGCGGCAGCAGGGTACAGGTAAGACTGGTGACGTGCATGGTGGCACTAACATCAGAACCTACAGGGCCACAGCTGCACTCCAAACTCCTAGTCAGTGTCAAGGGCCCCTGGAAACCAAAGCCACCCACAGACAGCAGCAAACTGACCGAGAGACCTTACCACAACAGGAAAGGGGCCCAATAGGGGACAGATGATTCTTCGTGCCTCTGTTTTGTAAAGAGCAAACACCACTCTGTTAAGTTTGAACAACAGCAGCAGCAGCAGCAATAGCCTTTTCTAAGGAAAAACCACACAGGCAACACGTCCCTACACCAACATATGCCTAACAGCAAAGACATGGACACCTCCTCAAACATGCTGCCTGTGGGAACCTCGCTGCCTTCCCCGAGGCTTTGTGTGGCTCCGCATCCGTCAGTGGCGGCGCGGCTCTTTGGGGGCCTGTGCTGCAGAGCCTGCTGTCCCTGCTGTCCCTGTCCTACTCTTATTCTGCCTTGAGCTCTCACTGTCAAAATAAGGCATGCTCTATTTACAGACAAGGGGTCCTCCACCACTCATCAAAGAAGCTTCTTTCTGCAGCTGATGAAGACCGTTACAGAGTTCCACAGCTGGTCAAATGCACAGAATAAGTGTCTAAGAAATGCCCAGCCCTAACTGACACAATCACAATGCAACCTCTATACTTAAGGCTCAGGGAACATGGTGGAACAGGGGGTAGAGAAAATACTGATATATCTCTCAACTCTCACCAGTGAAGCTTTCACATGCAACAGATGACAAACCCAGAAAGCCACAACTGGCCAAAGTGTAGAGAATACAAGACTGCAGAGTACATGTCCCTGGACAGGACTCCTAAATTAACCCTCAGCTACTCAGGACTCAGGGACCGCTGTGGAAGAGGAGGCAGAAAGCATGTAAGAGCCAGGGTGGTGGATGACCACAGGGAAAAAGTTTTCCAGACTGCTGGGAAGTTACTCATATGAGCTCTCAGCACTGGTAACAGCATGCACAAGACCCAAGCAAGCTTAAATGAGACAAAATCCCAGCACTGAAGTGGGGAAATGGGGGGCTGGAGAGATGGTTCAATGGTTAAGAGCACTGGCTACTCTTACAAAGGCTAGGGGAGGCAAACCCTCAGCGTTCAGTAAAAGCCCTAAAAGCATGTTTCCCTGACCTGGGAATGACACCTGTAAAACTGTATAAAGATGCAGATGAGTGCCAGGGTGGCACACCGATGAGGCAGCAGGGCCTCTAGACAGCTCAACATGCAGAAAGGACACAGTAAAGTTCAGCTGCCATGTCTTATAAATAACAACAGACCTGAGGTGCAGTGCAGTGACTAAACATGGGCTTAGCATGTGCAGGCACCCTAGCCCCCCCCTCCCCCGCCAAAAAAAGAAAGAAAACCAAGAGGTAAGGATATCATTCCAGGGCCAGGTGTGGAGGTGCATGTCCAATACTAGGGAGGCAGAAGCATGCAGGTCTCTGTGAGTTTGAGACCAGCCTGGTCTACACAGAGAGCTCCAGGTCAGTCAGGACTACACAGTATGAAGGAATCAGCACAGACAGTTCTTAGAGGGAGGTTTATAGCCAGGAGTCCTAGATTCAAAACTCAAAGCAGGCTAGGGGTCTGGCCAGCACAGCGTGCTTAAGGCTCTGGTTTAATTCTCAGTACCAGGTCACCCGGGTCAGCTCACCCAGCCCTGTCTTAGAGCTGAAGTTTCAGACCAGCCTTCCAGCACAGACATGAAAATAGGAAATAATCCACCAGAAAACCAAGCCAGACACAGGGAGTCTGTTTGAGAGTGGGAGCAAATGTGCAGAAAAATTAAATGATTTTGAGTTTTTAAATTTTTAAATCTTTCCACAAAAACTTAACTTAGGCTATCACAGGGGGCTAGAGAGATGGCTCAGTGGTTAAGGGCACTGGCTGCTCTTGCTGAGGACCTGGGTTTGGCTCCCGGCACCCACATGGCTGCTAACAACCATCAGTAACTCCAGTTCCAGGGGGTCCAACGCTCTCTTCTGACCTCTGTGGGCAACGTACAACATGGCTGCACTTAACATGCAGGCAATACCCATAAAATAAAAGTAATAAAATTAAAAAAAAAACAACAGGCTATCACAACCCTATGGGGAGGGGGGGGAGAGAGAGAGAGAGAGAGAGAACCCTACAGAAAGAGGTTACCCAAGTACCCAAGACACGAAAGGACACATCTCTCTGAGGCCTTCACCCCTGAAGGAGGTGAGCTCCCAAGGGCACATGTGGCTAGAGCTCACAGCAGGAAGGGTTGCTGCGGGCACTGTGCAAGGCTGCCCTTAACCCTGTCACCCCCCATGACTGCTCTATGGCTGCCCTTAACCCTGTCACCCCCCATGACTGCTCTATGAATGGAGAGGACATCCAGGTGACAGTGGATATCTGTTTCCACCTCAAGGAACATGGAACCTAAAGGGGAAAGTAAGCGATTCCAGTCTCAGGAGCAAGGGGCAGATCAGGCCTGGACACTGACCACCTGGAGTGTAGCCCACCTTCCTGGCCGCTGCCCTGCTGACTCAATTCCCACAGAAGAACCCTACTGGCTAGGCAGGCTAGAGCATTAGCAGAGAGAGCACACGTCCCTGAACTGAGCTCCATCTGCACACATTCCCTGAATAGAGGTCAAGTGTGCTAAGGGGACACTTATTGGAAGAGCCAAGGGAACAGAATATGGATGGGATGCCAGGGTGCTGGATCCAGCTGCATGCAGTCAAAGAGAACAGGGCCAGGAAGTGGGCTACTATAAGAAAAGACTGAGCAGAAGCACACCAGGGAGGCACAGCCTTGCCTGAACTCTAGCATGCAACTTTAGACAACTCCTCCCAGATGAGCACATTACCCTTAAAAACTGCGAAGATTAGCCAGGCGTGGTGGCGTGTGCCTGTAGTCCCAGCACTCTGGAGGCAGAGGCAGGTGGATCTCTGAGTTCAAGGCCAGCCTGGTCTACATAGTGAGTTCCAGGACAGCTGGGGCTACAGAGACCCTGCTTCAAAAAAAAAAAAAAAAAAACTGCAAAGATATGCAAAAACATGATTCAAAGCAGGGGTCAGTGTTCATTCAAGGAAAGGTCAACCTCACCCAGCACTGGGTGGGCAGGGGAATCAAAGCACCTAAAACAACACAAAGCAGTCAACGTGCCTTCAGTGGACTCCGCTCCCCTTCCCCCTGCAACCCTGAACCCTCCATACACCCTCCCAAGAAGAAAGGAGCCGGCACATCACTAACTTCTCAGCTTTCTCCAGTCCACAGTGACGCCTGACCTCCTCTGACAAGGGCCAGAGGCACTGCTCACCTCAGGAGACCAGCTAGGAGAGAAGACGTCACCCACACAACCTCTTCTGCAACCACTCGTCTGATCTGCCACACATAAACAACAGGGGCCACGGCCGTCAGAAGGGGAGCTGCGGGCCCAGGACACCGGAGGCCGTGGTAGGCTTGTCAGAGCCTTTCCACTTTCCTGCCCTGTTCTGCTGGGGAAGCCACAGCCTCCACCAGTGGCTCTTCACCTCCAGCTTCCAGAATGCCTGGAGGAAAGCAGGGCAGAAGGATGTGGCTGTGGGCATCTGGTTCCCTCCAGCAGAGCTACCTGGAGACAGGGGTACAATCATTGTGCCGTGACAGCCCCTCCTGGGCACCTGGCTCTGTGTGCGCAGGCCACTGCCTGGCTCTGGGAGGTCTCTGCAGATCAGTAGCCACAGAACTATAGTATAATGCACTGAAACCATTTGAAGAAGATTCTTGTTTTTATTGTTTTGGTTTTTTGTCTTTTTGAGACAGGGTCTCCCTGTAGCCCCAGCTGTCCTGGAACTCACCATGTAGACCATGCTGGCCTTGAACTCACAAAGATCTGCCTGACTCTGCCTCCCGAGTGCTGGGATTAAAGGCGTGTGCCACCATGCCCGGCTTGAGGAGGATTCTTTAATCCTAGGGTTGGTGACAAAGCTGGGCCCACACCCAGGGTCTGGTTTACACCATCGTCTCTGGACCCCTACACCTACCCCCAACTGGATAACAGCTCTTTAGAAGATTCTGATTTCAAACTCTAACACACACCCCAATTTTATCCTTCCAGGCAACTACTACAACAAAATCTAAATCAGATGAACAATCTGCACAGTCAGAGCCCTATTCCAGTGATGAACAGTGTTCACAGTCCGTCCCTAGTCTAAGCAAAGCAGACTCTCCATCTGTGCCATTACAGGTGCCCAGGAGAATCGTGTTTTGTGGTGAAGAATGAGTTCTCTTTATTTACATATTTAAGGTAAGAATAATTTGATAAAAATTCTTGAGTTTGTGAGTCAAGGCTAGTCTCCAAGCTCTGAAGTCAGAACTTCCCCTCTAGAGAGTAACTAAAACAACTTGGTGGGTGAGAATGTTTCCTGTGCAAGCATGAGGACCTCAATTCAAATCCCCAACATCCTCGTGAAAAGCCAAGCACGCAAAACCAGGTGTGGTGGCATGCACCTTTAGTCCCAGCACTCAGGAAGCAGAGGCAGGTGGATCTCTGTGAGTTTGAGGGCAGCCTGGTCTACACGGTGAGTTCTAGACCAGCCTGGTCTACATAGTGAGACCCTGTCTCAGAAGACCAAATGAAATAAAACCAAGTACGGCTGCACATAGTGTGGCCTCAGCAATGGGGGGGAGATGGGCGGGTCCTGGGAGCTCACCCGCCGGCCCAGCCCACATGGTGAGTTTCCAGTTCAGAGGGGCCTGTCTTGAAGGAACAAGGGGACAGTGGTAGAGGAGGACACCATGGCTCTCTGGCCTCCAAAGGCATGCACCTACACCACAAGCATGTACCCCAAGACACACACACACCCCCACACAAAATTAAACCTCAGGATTATCTCAGTGCTTCTGAAATAATCTTAAGAGATTTAGTCTTTCTGTAAGAAACAGTATATTTTAAAGTGAAATGGAGATCTTCTTTAAAGGTTAAAAGCTCATTCAATTTTATGTCTTACAGGGTTTATACTGAGTTCAATGTTGTATAACTGTACGTATTCAACTGTGAACCTAAAAATTTACAGCCACTTTTGAAAGAGATGCATCTTTGCTCTGGAAACTTTTATTGAGTATGTTAAAGCTGTAACGAAACGCTTCTTCTAATCATGTGGTTATTAAATAAATAATTAAAAAAAAAAAGATTATTTCAGGACCGGGCATGGTGGCATACGCCTTTAGTCCCAGCACTCGGGAGGCAGAGGCAGGCGGATCTCTGAGTTCCAGGCCAGCGGGGTTACAGGGAGACCCTGTCTCAAAAAGATCAAAAAAAAAAAAAAAAAAAAAAAAAAAAAAAAAAGTACACGTTGGGCCTGTTATTTAGTATTGTAGGGTATACAAAATGTTACTATACTATCAAGCATTATCTTACCAAAGTTTTAGCTAATGGAACAAATTTACAGCTGTGACTTGAATCTGAACTGCCCCTCCCCGAGGCTCATGTCTGAACTATTCTCCAGCTGGTGGTGCTGAGAGGTTGTGGCACCTTCAAGAGAAGGTGGAGTAGGTCAATGGGAAGACTCTTGAAGGCTACAGTCTGCCCTTGGCTCTGGTTTGCCCTCTGCTTCCTGGTCCTCCCCGTGAGGAGCCTCCACCCCACTCTCTCACCATCATGATGGACTGAAACCCTCTGAAGCCAAGAGCCAAAAGAAATACTTTTCTAAGCTGTTTCCATCAAGTGTGGTCACAGCAATGCTCAAGTGACTAACACGATGCTCTTCACACCTGCTATCAAGGGAGCCTCATGACTGTGCCCTGGGAACCTTGTGGCTTGTCACAGGATGACATCCCCCCGGATGCGAATGGTGAGGGTTTTATATCAGCATTCTACGGCTCTGGGTAAGGCATCTACCCACTCTGGAGGTCTCAGTTGGAAATGGAGCTGCGGAATTAGCATTCTGCATATACACATGTGAATGTCCTGGGTGAAGAGGTCACAGGAACACCTTATCACTAGTGCACATGGACTCTCAGCAATGAACACACCCGCTGCCCCTAGGTGGATTCTTCTATCACCAAAGATAAGCAATTCAAAGCTCCTTTCACTCACTGGCTTCCCTACACACACATAAGGGTACCACGCACGCACGCACGCACGCACGCACACAAGCACTCACTCATCTTACATTAACCTTAGTGCCACTCAACAATGAACAACACTGGCCATGTGTTGTTCACACTGCCAACTGTGCACAGAAGCAGGCATGTGAGAAGCATACGGAAGTGCAACAAGCACCCGTGTGCCACCCTGGTGTCTCTCGGTACATAACTGGTAAACACTGTGACCAACTGTGTATGAGAAGTACACAGGGAAACTAAGAGGACTGACCTGGGCCAATGTGAACGCTATCACATGGAGAGGAAAAATTCCTTTCTGAGAGTTAATCAATGGAAAAGGCAGCTAAGCAAAGAACACTAAAAATCAAGAACATTTAGAAAACACAGTTTGCCCTAAGCACAGGAAGTCTGCAAGGGATACTGAGTCCTGAGCTTCCTGTGTGTTCCACCAGGAGAGGGCTGGTGGGGAGGGGAGCCGACTCACTTCCAAGAGCTTCAGCTCCTGCACGCAGCTGTGCAGCAGCTCCAGTGCCCGCTGAGCCACCTCCCAGGGCCGCTGCAGGAAGAGCAGCAGGGTGCACTGGCGTGAGAACAGGTAGCTTCGCAGGTCCAGCAGCGTGGCTTCTTGCTTCTGGATCAGCTCCCGCTTCTCCATGTCTATGGGTTTGCGGAGTACCAATCCATTCCAGCTCTTCACCGGCTGGCAGAAAAAAGTCAGCCAGTTGGCACCATCTAAACAAACACACATCATGAAGGATGCTGACCACAGGCACCTCACCTGACTGAGGTTCATGCTCAGGACCTCAGCCTCCTGGAGGAGCAGGCAGCTTCGCAACCAGCTACCGCTGGTCCATAGCCTCACCTGTTGGCTACTGCCTTGGGGTTGGGGTGGTTTCCATAAGCTCACCCCCGCTCAAGTCCTGATACTGATGGCTGAGCACAGAGCCCTACAACCTAGGCACAGTGCACAGCATCCACCCTGACACCGACACTGGAACTGGGGACACCTCGGCCCTCAGAGGACTCAGAAGGCTCTGGGCTGCACTGTGTCCAGGCTGCCCCCCTCAGCTAAGGCAGGAGCAGCCTCCCACCTGACCATCCTGGTCTCCTCACTCGCCTCCTAGCTTCCCACCAGCTTCCCGAGCAGAGGTTCTAGAGAACAGGACAGAGGAACAGGCAGGAGGGGGCAGCAGCCAGAGGAAAGGCACTTCTTGTCAACATTTCAACCAGGTCCTCAATTCTAAGTCACAGCCTTGAGACTAAATATGATCTTAAAACAAATGTTGGAATCTACAATAAAAAAGACATCTAATTCGTATAAAAACATCCAACCTTCTTCTACTCCAACAGACGTGCTGGAGCCACTTCATGCTTGTTTCTACGAGGAAGTGTCCTAACCTGGGGACCGACACACTGAGCATGTGGCGTGCACCACCACAGCTTGTAGCATCCCTCAGAGCTGTGGCTGTCGTGGTGGGGCAGCACCCAGGTAAGTGCCTCACAGACTGGTTTCCACAGTCATTGCCATGTTCCATTCAGGCCTCTGGGCAGATGCCATCTTCAGGGTGGGGTGGGGGCCACCCAGCTGGCTAAGCTAAAGGCCCCTTCCCCATGTCCCTGCCCATGGCCTACAGCTACTGTTATGCACATGAAGCTAGGCTCATTCGGTCCTCGAGGGATGTCATGAGGGCCGGATTCTCTTTGCTGCTAACTACACCTAGAGTCATGCCTGGCATGGATGGGCACTGTGCACAGGTCCTGAGCCATCCTTTCATTCAGCTATAAAACTTGGCCTGGACTTATCCTTAGACTCTATAAACTGCCCCACATTTATTTCTAAATCGAAGAAAAACAAAGAAATTCTATGAAATGTAAAATATTATATTCAAGAGATGTATACGTTAAATATGGATATGCAACAAAAATACAAGAAATAATTTTACCTTTTCCAATTCTTTTTAAAACTTTTTTATTTTTAAAATTTATTTTTATTATTTTATGTGTATGAGTGTATTGTCCGCACGTGTATAAGTGCACCCATGTCATGCAATGCCCCACAGAAGTCAGAAGAGGGAGTGAGATCACCGGGAACTGGAGTTACGGTCAGTTGTTAGTCGCTATGTGGGTGCTGGGATTCAAACCCAGGTCCTCTATAAGAACAGCCAGTGCTCTTAACCACTGATCCATCTCTCCAGTCTGGCTTTTCCAAGTCAAAATTTAATTAGTAAATGCTTTCTTTTGGTTATAGGTTGATATCCCAATCTTAGTCAAGTAAGATAGGCAAACTACTTCATAAAGATTGGTTTCAGCTGGGTGGGGGGGGCACATCTGTAATCCCAGCATACTTATAGTCCCAGCTCTTGGGAGGCAGAGGCAGGCAAATCTCTGTGAGATGAAGCCCAGCCTGGTCTATATAGTGAATTCCAGGTTAGCTGGGGCTACAGGGAGACCCTGCCTCAAAAAAAAACCCAAAAACAACAACAACAAAAAAAAAAACCAAAAAGGATTGGTCTGGAACAGGGGTCAGTTAGTAACACTTTGGGACCTGTCTCAGAACTGGGACAGTCTGAGGTTCTTAACTGGGGTACAGTCCTCAGACATCACTGCCTCCTTTAGACACAGTGACACAGTTCTCAGAAACATGTTCAGCACAGCACTGTGTGAGGCACCCAGGAGGAAACAGCCCAAATGCCCAGCACCAGGAAGTACTGAGCAAATTCTTGAGAGGTAGCTGAAATGCAGTGCATCTGTTACAAAGATAGCCTGACTCTGCATGTGGGAGAGACGCTAAGACTAAGTGTTACTAAGAAAGAAACAAGAATGTCTCAGTAAGGTCTGGGGGGTGGCTCAGTGGTCAAGAGCACTTGCCACTCTTCCAGAGGACCCAAGTTCAATTCCCAGCACCCACACTGGGCAGTTCACAGTCTCCTGTAATTCCAGCTCCAGGGGACCCAACACCCTCTTCTGAACTCCACAGGTACCCATTCACACATGCACACACACATATACACACTCATAAATGAAAATTAAATCTGAAAAAAATGCCAATAATATGATGGCATTCTACACCAGTGAAAACAGGAAGTGTTTGTGTGTACGTTTGTGTGTGTGCTCATGTGTGTGCAGGTGCATGACTATGTATGTGCACATGAACATGGAGGCCAGAGGTCAACAGTGGGTGTCTTCCTCAACTGCTCTCTACCTTAGTTTTGAGACCGGGTCTCCACTGAACTTGACGCTTGCTGACTGGGTAGACTGGCTGGCCAGTGAGCCCTAGGGATCTGCCAGGCTCCACCCTCTCAAAGGTAGGACTACAAGCATGTGCCACCATGCCCAGCCTTCAGGTAAGCAATGGGGATTCAACTCAGGTCCTCACATTTGCCTCAAAGGTGCAAACTGCTCCAGGGCAAGCACTTTACCATGGAGTCACCTCCCCAGCCTTCAACTGATTCTTCATTTATAAGCTCATTGTACAAATTTTGCAATTTTAAAAAAAGAATTTTTTAAAAATATTTTATTTATTGTTTTTATGTGTATGAGAGTTATGTCTGCATGTAAGTAAGTGCACCTGTGTTGTGCAATGCCTGTGGAGGACAGAAGAGGCCGTCAAATCCCCTGGAACTGGAGTTACAGTTGTTAGCTGCCATGTGGGTGCCAGGATTTGAATCCATTTGCAAGAACAGCCAGTATTCTTAACTGCTGAGCCATCTCTCCAGCCTCCCTTCCACCAATCTTATAATGACCTTCCTTTAATATTTTTTTTCTGCTGAGCATCGTGGTGCATGCTTTTAATACCAGCACCTGGGAAGCAGAGGCAGGTAGATCACTGTGAGATCGAGGCCAGCCTGGTCCAAGACAAGCTTGGACTACGAGAGACCGTATCTCAAAAACAATTTTTTTTTTTGTCTTTTTGAAGCAGGGTCTCCCTGTAGCCCCGGCTATCTTGGAACTCACTGTGTAGACCAGGCTGGCCTTGAACTCACAGCAATCTGCCTGCCTCTGCCTCCTAAGTGCTGGGATTGGAAGCATGGTCCACCATGCCTGGTACATTGTTTTTTGTTGCTTCTCTTCTCCCCTCTTCTCATCCTCCCTTTCCTTGTGCCCTCCCACCCCAGGAGCCTCCTCTGCTTTCATGTGCAGGTATCACCTCCCCCATCATGGTCTCTCATATCTAGTTTCATATCTATACCTACTTTAAAAAATATTTTGTTATTTTTATGTGAACGAGTGTATTGCTTACATGTGTGTAAGTGCACCCATGTCATGCAATGCCCGTGGAGGTCAGAAGAAGGCGTCGGATTCCCCTGGAGCTGGAGTTATAGATGACTGTTAGCTGCCATGTGGATGCTGGGAATCGAACCCAGGTCCTCTGCAAGAGCAGTCAGTGCTCTTAACTGCTGAGCCATCTCTCCAGCCCCTCTATATCTACTCTTATACCCCTTTATTTACATACATCCAAATAAAGGATCCTCATTTGTGAGAGAACATGCATACAGTTTTGTTTTTCTGAGTCTGGGTCTCCTCACTTAATCCAATACTTTCCAGATCCATTCATTTTCATGCAAATTTTTTAATTTCATTTTTCATTGTAGCTGAATAAAATTCCACTGTGTATGTATGCCAAGTTTATTTTCTTTTTTCTTTTTAAAGGGTTTTTTTGACTTTTTA